GTGTGTGTGGGTGTGTGTGTGTGTGTGTGTGTGTGTGTGTGTGTGTGTGATTTTTTCTGTTTGACATCCTGGCCACAGTTTCCCCTCCTCCTCTCCTCCTGTACCCTCCTCCCTCCTCCCTTCTGTGCTCATCCCCCATCCTCTGTTCGTATGAAGGCTGGGCAGGGCAGCCCAGCATGGGAATGGGTTCCCAAAAGCCAGCTCAAGCGTTAGGGACAGGCCCTGATCTCACTGCTAGGGATTTCACAAATAGACAAAGCTACACAACTGTCACACTTTGTAGAGGGCCGAGCTCAGCCCCATGAGGACTGTGGGAGGATATTTTTTCTTTTTCTTTTTTTTTTAAGATTTATTTATTTATTTATTTATTATGTATACAACATTCTGCTTCCATGTGTATCTGCACACCAGAAGAGGGCTCCAGATCTCATAACGGATGGTTGTGAGCCACCATGTGGTTGCTGGGAATTGAACTCAGGACCTCTGGAAGAGCAGTCAGTGCTCTTAACCTCTGAGCCATCTCTCCAGCCCATGGGTATTTTTTTTCTTTTTCTGAAGTAGGGTCTCACGTATTCCAGCCTGGCTTCTGGCTCCCTGTTTACTGACGATGGCCCTGAACTCCTGACTTTGCATCTCATAGGTGGGAGGATTGTAGGTATGGACCACCATGGCTGGCACAAAGACATGTTTGAGTCAACTGGGGGATACACACAGAGAACAGGGTAACAGGCCCAATTAAGGAGTCTCGGTCCTGTCCTGTTCCAGGTAGAAACAACTTCCTCAATTCTTCCTCCAATGGAGAAACTTCTAGTGTCAAGCTTTTAGCCACCCGATACTAGTTCCTTTTTTAAAATTTATTTAACTTTATTTTATATGCATTGTTGTAAAGGTGTCAGATCTGGAGTTACAGACAGTTGTGAGCTGCCATGTGGTTGCTGGCAATTGAACCCAGGTCCTCTGGAAGAACAGCCAGCGCTCTTAACCTCTGGGCCATCTCTCCAGTCCCCAGATACTAGTTCTTAAGCTTATCTACCATGGGGTTTTGTGTTGTTTGATTCAGGCAGGCTGCTACATTTTCTTTTGATTGCTGGGGATTGAACCTAGCACCTTAGGCACGCTAGGCAAGTGTTCCACTGCTAAACCATGCCCTGTGCCCCACGGCCCTCACTGGGGGATTCTAGGCAAAGGCTGTATGGAAGAACACTGCTTTTCCCTGCTCATTGATAAATTCTGGGTCAACCACTCATCCCTGAGCCATGCCCCTGGCTTCTCATTGGTACATTCTAGGCAAGTATTGGAGTCCCAAGCTATATCCTCAGACTTCTTTCTACTTTTTGATTTGATGCAAGTTTTCACTAAGTTTTTCAGGTGCCTCGAATGAATTCTGCAGCCTCAGGTAGACCTTGAACGGCCAGCCTACTCCCTCAGTCTCCCGTACGGCTAAAAATGACCGTCCTCGCTGCCTCTTTAAACCAACACCCACCCAAGTGGGCGATGGTGGACACACCTTTAATCCCAGCACTGGGGAGGCAGAGGCAGGGGGGTCTCTATGAGTTCCAGACCAGCCTGGCCTACAGAGTGAGTTCTAGGACAGCTACGGCTATCACACAGAGAAACCCTGTCTCAAAAGATCAAAATAAAAAACTAAAAAATAAACACCCACCATTCAGCTCTACGCACTGCAGCCTGAAGTCGCACTATCTCCTGCAGGTATCTTAGCCTCTCACCACCCTCTGGTTTTTGTGGTTGTTTTTTGGCCATCTTGGGCATTGAACCAGGGCCTCGGGCATGCTAGGTGAGTAGTGTGCTGTATCCCTATAGTGAGCTATAGCCGCTGGTCTCACCCAGTGTTTTGAAGGCTGTTTGACCCTAAAGGGGTTGTGACCCACGTGTTAAGAACTCCTGCTTTGCCAGTCAGTAGTGGCTCACGCCTTTAGTCCCAGCACTCGGGAGGCAGAGTCAGGCAGATCTCTGTGAGTTCGAGACCACCCAGTTCTACAGAGTGAGTTCTCCAAGACAGCCTACAAAGCCACAGAGAAACCTTGTCTTAAAAGAAAGAAAGAAAGAAAGAAAGAAAGAAAGAAAGAAAGAACTGCTTTAAAGAAAGTCCCAGGGCCGAGGATGTCGTTCACTTGGTAGATTGCATGCCCAGAAAACATGGAACCTCTGGCTCCATCGCCTGGCCTACATAAACTGGGCCCAGTGGTGCACGGCTATAATCCCAGCACTCTGTGGAGGCAGAGGTAGTTGGATCAGGAGTTCAAAGCCAGCCTCAGATACATAGCAAGTCTGAGGCCATTGTGGGCTGCACAGGGCTCTGATTGAAATAGAGAAAGAAAAGAAGGAAGGAAGGAAGGAAGGAAGGAAGGAAGGAAGGAAGGAAGGCTGGAGAGATGGCTCAGGGGTGGGAAGCACTGGCTGCTCTTCCAGAGGACTCAGGTTCGATTCCCAGCACCCACATGGCAGCTTATAACCATCTGTAACTCTACTTTCAGGGGCTCAGATGCCCTCTTCTGGCCTCTGGGGGTACCAAGCATGCAAGTGGAGCATAGATATGCATGCAGGCAAAACACCCATACACAAAAAATTTAAAAATGAGTCGGGTGATGGTGGCGCACCCCTTTAATCCCAGCACTTAGGAGGCAGAGGCAATTGGATCTCTGTGAGTTCAAGACCAGCCTGGTCGCCAGAGTGAGTGCCAGGACAGCCAGGGCTACACAGAGAAACCCTGTCTTGAAAAACAAAAACAAAAAGAAAGAAAAGCAGAGGTTAGAGCAAACAAACAGGGAGCTGGAGAGATGGCTCAGAGGTTAAGAGCACTGGCTGCTCTTCCAGAGGTCCTGAGTTCAATTCCCAGCAACCACTTGGTGGCTCACCACCATTTGTAATGAGATCTGGTGCCCTCTTCTGACCTGCAGGGATACATGCAGACAGAACATTGTATACATAAAAATAAATAAATAAATAAATAAATAAATAAATAAATAATACAAACAAACAAACAACATAATAATTGCTACTTTTCCAGAAGACCTGAGTTCAAATCCCAGTACCCACCATCCAGTAGCTCACATCCAAACCACCTGTAACTCCCCTTCTGGGGATCTGTCGCCCTCTCCTGGCCTCTCTGGACACTGCACTCATGTGCACAATTGTACACACATATGTACATAACTAAAAAAATTTTTAATAAAAATTTAAAAAGACAGAGAAAGGGAAGTATCACAGTAGATACAAACCATACAGTTTCAAACACCCCAGGAAGTCTGCACATGACTGTATGACAAAAAATCATTAGGGTGTGTGTGTGTGTGTTTGTTTGCTTCTTTTTTTTTTTTTTTTTGTACAAACACTTTTTTCTTCTCTCCTTTCTTTTTAGTCTTACATTGACTTATTGATTGTGTGTTTGCTGAGAGGGGGCGTTGTGGAGGTCAGAGGACACCTTGGGGCAGTCAGGTCTTTCCTTCCACCATGTAGGACCTGGGGAATTGAACTCACGTCATCGGACTTTGTGGCAAGCACCTTTAGCTGCTGAGCCGTCCTGCCTGGCTTTCTATTTTTGACAAAGACTCTAATGTAGCCCAGGCTGGCCAGGAACTACATCTGTATCATAGATGATTTCAAACTCCTGACTATCCTGCCCCTCCCTCCAGGGACCCCATCTCTGGGATACCACTGAGATCAGCCACCACGTCTGGTTTTGTTTGAGCCGAGTATCTTGCTAGGTAGCCATGGCTAACCTAGAACTCACTATGTAAATCCTAGGCCAGCAACCTTCCTGCCTCAGGCTGAGTGGTGAGATTATGCCCGCATATGCCATAATGCCAGGCTTCTCATCTCTTCAAAGGAGAGAGCTGGGGCTCAGAGGGGTTAAAGGGACCCCCTAAAACACACGGCTTGGGAATAAAGTGGAAAAGGAAGTTCCGGTTGCAGTTGTTACGACTTGGCTAGCTTCCCTGCAATCTCTGCTCTCAGCTGCACCGTATGGCACGCCTGTGCCCAGCATCCAGTACCTTTCTGACGGTGAGTGACCAGCAGGACCCGGCCGAACCGGCCCTGGCCCAAGGGACGAACTTCCTCGTACAGCTCGTCCACCTCAGTGCGGACCAGGGTCTGGGCGCTCAAAGCCATCATGTCTTCCAAGGCCAGAGCCGTCTCCTGGCCCTGCTGCAGCTCTTCGACTGTGAGGCCCCCCAGGCCTTCGTCACCTCCGTCCTCCACAGCTGCCACGTCCATTGACCCGTCGTCTGACTGTTTGCCTGGCATTTCTGCAAGACAGACAAAGAAAGTGACCCAGGGCTCAGAGGTCACTAGCCTATAGCCACTGGAGGGGCCAGCAAGGACATTGCTCTCCTGGGTCTGAGGGAGGAGGACTGGAACCTGGAGTCCTGAGTCTGGGGTCTGAAAGAGAAGCCTGGACCCGGGCTGAGGCCTGAGCAGCAGGTCCCATTGTGCCTCACTTCCATTCTGTCGGGAGACCCCGAAGAGTGGAAAACAGTCACCGGTGTGAAGTAAGGTCACCCAAGAGGTCAGATCCCCCACCCCTCCCATTCCCACTGCCGCCTGGTGGCCTGAGGGTGAAAGATGAACCAAGCCATCGAGACACACACACCCCCATCTTGTTTCCAAAGCAAACAGACTTGGGCCTGGAGTGGATGAGCAGTTCCCTCCAAAGAGCAAACAGGTGCTCTCTGCCTCCAGGGAAGGGTGGGGCTCTGCGCAGCTTGAGATGTCAGGGTGCTGCCCTAAGCTGTCCCTTGGACCTGTCCCCGGTCCTTCAGCCCTCAATCATTTTGGGGTCCAAGTCTCAGAGGTCAGCCGCTCTCCCCTAGACCTCTCTAGATCCCAGTTCCCCTCCCGACACCTAGAAACATAGACCCCAGCCCTCCTCCTTCACATTCGGGGTTCGGACCCCAGCTCTCCTTCCTCAGACGCAGAAGTTCAGACCCCACCCATTTACCAGGGTCCCTAACCCCAGCCCTCCTCCCTTAGACCTAAGGGGTCCAAACCATAACTTATTACTGTCCCAGGAACTTCTATAACTCACACAGCTTGGGGAGGGCTCAGACCCTGGCCCCAACACTCAAGCACCCAATTGCCTCAAGGTGTTTCTTGTCCCGTGGAGGGTCCAGCACCTGTTTTCCTGCTCAAACTGCAGCCTACCTCAAGACGGTTAACCTTGCCCTACTTCTGACCTGGGCTGAGAGCTCCAAAACCTCACCTTCTTCAAGGCTTGTCTGACCCCTTTCTGCCTACTGCCGTTAGTGCCCTGGACTGCGGGGCTCCTGCCAGCCTCTGCTTGCCCAGGAGCAAGGCCAGCCCCCACCCTGGGGGGTCGTAAAGCCCCACCCTCTGCCCCGCCCCTTCTGCCCCCACTGGGGGCAGAGCGACACCGTGTGTTGACTCCTAGTACTGGCTGTGGTTAGACAAAGGCCCCAGACGTGGTGGGGGTAAGAGGTGGGGGGTGGGGAGGCTCAGGTCTCTTCCCTAGGACCCCAAGAGTCCAAGTAGCCTTCCTCCCTCACGGCCTACGTCTGGAATCCGGTCCTCCTTCCGCACGTTCAGGCAGGGTCCATGCCCTAGCTTTCCTTTCTCAGTGGGGGAGTCTAGAATGCAGGCCTCCTATCAGAAACTGGGCTCTGGGTACCACCTTTTCTGTCTCGCATCCAAACCCTTAACCATCTTTTCTGTCTCGCATCCAAACCCTTAGTCCTCCTCCCTCAGATCCAAGGGTCCGGGCAACCTTCCTCTCTCAAACCCGGAGCTCTAGAGCCCAGATTCAGGGTTCAGACCCCAAGCCTCCTTCCTCAGACTCAGGAGTCCAGGCAGGCCCCATCCATTTACCCCCAGACTCAAGGCCCCAGGCCCCAGGCATCCTCCGTCAGACACAGAAGCCTAGGACCTAAACTGTCTGACTCAAACCCAGGGATCCATCCCTCCCTCCTGCTCCCATCCAGGCGACTAGGTCCTAGATCGCTTCTGTCTGACCCAGGGATCGGGATCGTAGCCCTTTTCCTTTTAGATCTAGGGGTGCAGACCCCAGCCTCCTCCCTCCTCCGGCCTCATCTTTTCTTTAATCTGGCCCCCATCTATCTAGTCTGTTCCCCAGCTCCCGCCTCCGCTGCCTCATTGGCGAACACAAATCTTCTCAGAGGTTATGTCCAGGAGCCCAGACACTAGGGTCCTGTTTCGGGATGAAATGAGACAAGATTCTAAAACGATGCCATGAGAAATGACCTCAGACCAGGGACCAGAAACAGGTGGCGGAGCAACTGGGGATCAAGGGTGACTTTCCCCCTTTCTCTGGGACAGCTGCGCTGTCCGTCAGGTTCAAAGCATTGAGAACCACAGGGGCTCATTTCATTGTCCAAATACACTTTTTATTTGGTAAATATTTTTAGTATTACAAAAACAGTTGCAAAGGTCACACATTTGCAAAGGTCCCTTGGAAACCCCACCACCACCACCACCACTTTCCCAACCCGGCTTTCCCCGAGGTCAGCATCTCACCCAGCATTTATCACAAAGTTAGGAACACTTCCAACAACAGTTGTCCTGTCCACCCTCGCTGCCTTCAAGGTCCTTTTCCTGTTCCCCAGTCCAGTCCCAAGGGCACCATGGTGCATTTAGTAAACTCACTTTTAAATCTAAAAAAAGCGTAAATTTGGGGTTGGGGGGTGTAGCTCTGTTTGCAGTGTTTGCACAGAGATCTGGAGGCTCAAATCTCCAGCGCTGGATAAATCAATGTGATGGTACAGCCCTGTAGTCTCAGCAGTTCGGAGGTGGCAGGATCAGAAATTCAAGGCCATCCCCCACGACACAGTGAGAGGACATCCTGGGAGACGTGAGCACTTGATGCTATTTATTGATTTATTTATTTTGGTTTTTCGAGACAGGGTTTCTCTGTGGCTTTGGAGGCTGTCCTGGAACTAGCTCTTGTAGACCAGGCTGGCCTCGAACTCACAGAGATCCGCCTGTCTCTGCCTCTTGAGTGCTGGGAGGCACCACCGCCCAGCTGGACTTCATGTTTTTTAAAGTATAAATTCCTGTGATATTTCTAGTTCCTTTCCCTCTGTGGAATGCTGGGGACTCAAGGTACACTGAGCTGGCTAGGGTCTGTGTGCTGCTGGAGAGAGAGGAAGAGGCATGGAACCAGTCCTGACTCTCACGCTCCATGGGTCCCCGATGAAAGATGGAGCTGGGATATTCGGGACCAGATTACTTGGTGCTGTGTGGAAACAGAAAATGGAAGGGTCTAGAATCGAGAAAAGCCAAGCACATCCCAGCAGTTTGTGATAATGAGGGGGAGGGTAGACACAGATGGCTGGGAGGACTCCAGGGGTGGGGACCAGTTTCT